GACCCTGGCCCAGCCAGCTAAAACAATGTAAAAAAACAAAGCCAACAAACAAACAAAAAAACCCAGCTGGGCATTGTGGTGGGTGCCTGTAGTCCCAGCTACTTTGGACCCTGAGGCAAGAGAATTGCTTGAGCCCAAGAGTTTGAGATTGCTGTGAGCTGTGATGCCACAGCACTCTACCCGGGGCAACAACTTGAGACTCTGTCCCCCTGCCAAAAAAAGGAAAAATCACCAACATGTAGCCCCAAACAGTAATTCTAATTTAGGTACCTAAGTTATCCTGAGTTACAGGTACCCAACACAACTCCTGGCTATGTTTAGAGACAGGGGATTCACTCTTGCTCAGGCTGGTCTTGAACCTGTGAACTCAGGCAATCCACCTACCTTGGCCTCCTAGAGTGCTGAGATTATAGATGTGAGCCATCTCACCTGGCCTGTTTTTTATACTTAGTTCTTAACCTAAAATATCCCCTTTGGGGAGAGGTTTTCCATATCACCTTTTCACCTTATTCTCTATTCTAGCCCCTTGTCTGTTTCAAGATATGCCACTGTTTAAATATTTTTGTTGTTTTCATTTCTTTTCTGGTTTTCCAACTAAGATGTCAGCTTCATGAGAAGGTCCTTGTGTGATCTACTGCCCACTGTTTTTACCAGCATCCTGGCACATAGTAGACATTCAATAAAGTGATGAATGCAAATGAATAAAATGACTAGAGGCTGTAGGCTATTACTGTATCACTCATTAGTATCTGCCACTCCCCCAATCCATAAACTACCGTGATTAAAGTCAAATAAATTCTGTAAACAGACTGTATTATTTTATACCAGTTTTGGAAAAAGACTATCCTTTCTCCCAATGAATTGCCTCGGCACCTGTTGAAAACCAGTTGACCGTTCTAGACTTTCTTTTTTTAAATTATTTTTTATTAAATCATACTGCTTCAATATACAATGTGAAATGTTTACATTGAACTAAGTAACACATCCATCACAATTATACTCATTTCTTAATAGTTTTGAAATGTACCATTGCATCATGTACATTAGGTGAAGACTTTTTATTCTGTTCCATTAACCATTATGTCTACTCCCCCGACCCCATAATATTTACAGCATACTATAAAGAGGGTAAAAAGTAAATCTGCAGCTGAAAGCAATCTGAAAGAATGAAACAGATTGGCAACTACACAAAAAAACTGATTTCATGGAAAATTTTTTTTGAGCTAAAATTTACATACAGTGAACTTCTCAGACCTTTAAAGTACAATTATATATATATATATGTGCATATATACATTAGTGATCTGTTTGATCACCAATGAAAATAGAATATTTCAGCTCAGCGCCTGTGGCTCAAGTGGCTAAGGCACCAGCCACATACACCTAAGGTGGTGGAATCCAGCCTGGGTCTGCCAAAACAAC